GGATGAGCTTCCCGGGGCATACCGAAGTTCGATGCCTGGCTAGATCCGCTAGTGAGTTTGTTGTAAACTCACAGTCCTGACAGGGGTGGTGTTGGTGAAATATCCTGTCGTGTTTTGATTTGCTGGCGGCCGAGTTGCCCTTGGCCGAGTCGTGCTCGCAATGCCAGTGCGAATGCCACTCGTCCGAGTCTTTCTTGAAGACGGCAGAGCAGTGAGGGCACGGGATGTTGTTCCTCCGGCAAAAGTTCTCGTGTAGAACCATTGTACGCTTGGGGACCCACTGCCTGCAATTAGGACACTGCTCCTCATCAGTCGAGTGCTCCTCCCTGTCGACGTCCATACGCTCTTGTCCAGCCTTGCTTGTTGGCGATCCGACTTTAGCTCGGATAATGAATGGGATTGGCTGGCTCTTTCGGTGGTCTTCAGAGGAAAACCCATGAACAGAGACTAGTATTGACTCTGCCCCTTCCATTTCCACATTCGTAGGTGATATGGTGATAGATTTGACTCCATTCTTGGCGGAAGAAAAGTCGCCAAAAACATGAGCTGTGTCTCTGGGTAGTGCTCGCTGCCGAGACGATTTCGGCGTGACAAAAAGATCCACGCTATCTTCTTGTTCTATACCACTGAGAGTAATGGTCAGAGGCTGCGATCGATCCCAAGATGGCAATACGTAATCTACGTATCCACCTGGCGACACGTTTCCCGAGACATCTTTCCATATGTCGAGATCCCCGCCTTTTGACACACCACCGACTATCTCGGTTTGAGCCTTGGTCATGATCTGCCGCATCGTTTCTCGAGCCTGCTCTTCGTTGAGCGCCTCAATATCCACTTCTAAATCAGTGTCAACGACGCATATTCCGTCTCCTTCTGGCGAAAGATTGTCTACCAGAAACTTAAAAGTCTCCCCTTTAACACCATTGACGGAGAGGATCGAACTCTTGGTCAGACATGTATAATGTTCTCGGAGATGTCGTTCCAGCAGTGACTTCCAATCATCTGGATTGTACCCTGCCTCCAGCGGTCTCAATCTGACATATGTTCCCTTTGGTACATTTGTCGCATGAACCGTTATTTTAGTCGAGGCAGCTGTCGACGGGACATGGTCTCCGGTAAGGTCGATAGCATCGGCATCGGAAGTTCCGTTTCCATTCGTTGCATTCAGCTGCTGTGGCTCAATCCCCAGGGCTTCAATCAGAAACGAACTCAACCCCATGGTTCCCTCCTCGGCCGAAAACTCTCGAATACCAGCAAATACAACATTTCCATTCTGACTATTTACAAGCCGAAATGTAAGTGGGTGTGGTAGTTGCTGGCGCTGTTCGAAACCGAAGCCGTTCGATCGGTAAGGATTGTGGGGATCCCATGCTGTGAAGCTCGACGCCGTTATCGGCTGCGATGGCGCAGCGGTTAGGAGCTGTTCCAACGCAGACTGCGGGAGGACAATCTTGTCTCCGGACAAGTGCTTGACTGACGTAGCTGTAGTGGGCAGAACTCCAAAGGAGCCTGACCAGCGCAAGGCTGGTTGCTCGTCCATGGTAGCCCTTTGTGTATCAAGAATGTCGGTTGCTAAATACTTTTCAGTATCGTGGGCTGTGACGGGGGGGCCGCGGGTGTAGGTTGCGACACGGTCCAATCCGCTATGAGCTGAAGAATCGGGTTGGACTGGAGCAGATCCATCTCAAAACATTTTAGGTCTCAACCAGAAATGAGAACGGAGAATAAGAAGATTTACGAGTGCACGGTAATGAAAGCTTGGATGAATGGAACCTCGGCGCTGCCCAGAGATAGATATGAGGCGAAACTCCATGCTCAGTCAGCGAAATTCTGTCATGTTCCATCTCCAACAGAAGCGTCACGGTCACGTGGACTGTCTAGTAGCTTCTGGCATTTTACTTTCAAGTCCAGAATACTTGGTGCACGAATACATAACATTGGGGCTATTGGAAATGGCATGCGAGAAGGCAACGAATAAGTCGGGAAGATTTCGATGTAGTTTGTTTGCTCAATTTATACCTGGTCTTCTTTGGGCTGGTGAAAGGGCGAAGTTGGCATCATGCCCACAACGACGGTAGAGGGTGGTAGACCCTTCGCAGACTCGAGCTTTATCAACGGAACTCCAACGCTGGCCATTTCCTCTAGGCTGCGTTGCGCCCGAAATCCTATAATCAATAACTGGCTGGTAGGGCATAAAGTTGTATGTATGTATGCAGCCTGCTCTTGGAGCATCCATGCGACGGCTAAGCGTGTGAGGGGTCTAGAGCAGCCGTCCATTGATAGCTGCAGATGCGGATGTACATGACTGAGTCGTGCGAGCAACGATTTTATTTGACCAAGTGCAATCAACTAGTTCGCGTACGTCCAGTCTTCTCCGGGACTACGACCACTGGAGGACGGAGGAAACCAGTAAAAGCATGGCGTACTGTCGCGAACGGACCAGGAGACGGACTCGACTCGTCCACCCACCACCTGCTTGTACTCCGTGAATGAATCAAGAGACAGACACGAGCGTGTTGATGACAAGGGTCATCCGGCGCTGGCCACAGTACTCCTTGGAGTACTCTGTACTCAGATAGATGGAGCTTGGTATTCTTCTACTAATCCGTAGAGCAAGTTGGACAGGGTGGTATCCTACGGACCGAAGGGTACTGCCGAGATAGGAGTTGACACGGAAAAGCTGTGGTGTCGTCGAGCGTCTCGAATGTCGGGTAGCAACACCACCGATCTAAGAGATCTATCTCATGGACGGGCTTGTTGCAAAGATGTTGCTTTTTTTTTTACAGTCACGCACCAGTGCGAACTCTGTTCGGTTCCAGCTCCCAGACTCGCGCACTGGTCAAAGATGTAGGCCCAGCCAAGCTTGGCCTCAGCCCCCAAAACCCTTGTATTATCGACGAGTTGAAAAGCTTCAAGCAATCCAGTGTGTCACTCGACAGGGATCCACAAACAACAGTGGTGACGTCGCCAGAGCGGGTCTGTCAGAGACCCTTTTCGGGCCTAAACCCAGCACTCCGTACGGACATTGCAGCGTGGGCTGCGAGATTACGGGGCATTGATGAGCGAGCGCCTTGATCTGTGTCCATCTCGACTTGGCGGGTGACCTGAGCAACTGGGTTTTGTTAGCCAGCTAGATTGTCGATCTCATCCGAGCAGTAGAAGGCGAAAAGGGGAATCCGGGGGTGATGCTTTTGATCCGCAGAGACATGCCACATTGCTGATGCATGGCACCTTTGGTCCACGGTAATAACTCTGATGACTTGATGGCAGTTTTTTGATGAGATTGGGCATCTGTGGAGAAGGAAAGAAAGTGTTGGGAGATGGCGTCCTGTGGCAACCACAAAGCAATAGCAGCAGCTTTGAGGCTCTGGATGGTGTCTGTTTGTTCTTTGTCGTTTCTCTTTGTAATAGAGGTGAAAACGCTGGGCACTGCATGTGGCTTTTGGCAAAGATGCAGGCGCAAGGATTAATTGATAACATGCATGGACCAGCGCAGACTGGTGCCAGGGCCATCCGGTGCAAAATGATTCAATCATCAAATCGTCGGCATGGCCCAAGGTGTAGGGAGTACATGAAGGCATTACGTCTTTGGCTCTTATTCGCCATGTCAGCACCGAGTCATAGACCTCAAGCTCCCAGACTTGACCCTTTGCCTCGACGCACTCGTGTTTTATTAGTCTCCCCAGATAGTAGGCAACCAATGCCGATTAAAGAATCGGTGCCCGCATGCATGTGGTCTTATGCCCCGATAAGCCCACCATCGCACGTTGCTCGGGTACTTGTCCGTTTGGCCTGATCTGAAATGGCACCATCACGGTCTGGTCTGGTCACTCACCTCCCGAGAAACTAACTGCAAATGGTGTTTGCTTCCTGAGGCGCCCAGGTCGCCACCACGTAAAGCGCTTGCGTATTTATTTGTACATGTGTACTCGGCAGATGCAACCACGGTTCACCCCATCCGTACAGAGCACTAGACGGAGCGATGCCAAAGAGCCGCTCTTGTTTCATGTCTCACCGAGATTCCCAAGATAGAACCCAGGTAACAGGTATGGGTATGTAAAAAGGAGCTCCGGTCAATCCCATCCCTTCTCCGTGCCGTGCCCATGCGTCTCTGCCTCCTCACCACAACCACAACCACAACCACACATGCCCACGGTTCGCTTTGAACTTCTCAACTCTTCTCCATTTGTATTCCCGGCCGACCGGGCTGTCCCTTGTCAACTCGCCATCTACCACTTTAAAAGCCGTGCAACCCGCTGACGGTTCGCAATTTAATACCTTCCAAGTCCGCAAATCCCGACACGCATCTTGTCCTATCCCTGTTGTCCCACGACACACAGACGCTTTCGACAAGGAAAACTCTCTCTCGGTGGTCGCTGGTCGCCGCCAATCCACACCCCGGCCTCTGTTTCACTGGTGAAGGAGATATCCTCCTTCACCTGGCCGCGTTTGAGCGGCGGGAATGAATATTTGGAACCTGTCTCACCCTGTCCTTCACTCGGCCCAATCCCAACCTACTCCGTAGTCCAAAGGGCAGTCCCAGGGTTACATGACCGCTCGTGGTATGACAGCCTTTAGATAACCTTAGGCGGCATCTCTATTTCTTGTTCCACACGGACCGAAACCCTCATCACTTCTGCTCCACCCCGGCTGGGTTTTGGATACACACGCAGTTTCTCTTATATATCGTACGGGGGTCTTACTCTCTCCCCCCTTTGGCCACGATTTGAACTTGTTCGCCTTGCTGGCATATCCCGAGCATCTCGAAAAATTCCAATACGTATCATCGAGTGAGAGTCAGGTTACTCTGTTCTGATAGGAGTCGGCAACACCAGAGTTGATTATTTGTTACTGTCTAGCGGTTACACGCCTATTAGGCCATCTCACATTGATTCACATTCATTCATAGCCTCATTTCTCTTGTCCATCCACCGAATCCGCCCCCCCTTCATATTCAAAACACTCTTGGCTCTCGATTCCCCTTGTTCTGGCAGCCTGACATGAGCCAAGCTACCGTGAACGGTCAAACGCGTGAAGAGCTCGAGATAAATACACTATCTCTGTTCGATGTCCTCCATAACTCTCTAATCCTCCGTACTCTTGCGCCCTACCTGCCTATATACAGCCTGCTTCAACTTTCCGCTACCAATAAAGAGTTCCGATCTCTTATCCGCAACACCCCCGGCGTATTTCGGCACCTCGACCTCACACGGGTCAAAAGGGCCCAGTTCGACATCAACCCCATCGACAACGGTGGTGAAGTGTGGCGCAATGTCCAACTGGATGAAAACCTGAGTGAAGATGAGTGAGTTTTTCTCCTTCTCACAGCAGTCCCGCCCTTTGTTCTTCTGAACTTTTTGGCTCTGTACACCCTGTAAATGAGTCGCTGACGGCATCAAGTTTCTATTCCGGTCCGTTGAGAGGCGTGTTCAACACCATCCAGCGGCAAGACATCTGGAAGCATGTCCAGACCTTGATCCTCGATGGCCTGTCAGTCACTTCCGACCTGTGCCACGAGCTCATCAACGACACTTCATATAGTGTGCGCATCCTGAGCATCCGAGACGTCAAAAACTTGAACCAGGCCAAGTTCCGCGGGGCCCTGCAGTATGCTTGTCGGTCGACGCGACCTGAGAACTCTCCGCGGCTCAAGGCACTCTACGTATTCGGCTCCAAGGAGGTGCATCCAGAGACGGAACCGGCCCTGCAGGACCGGGAACCTCGAGCCTCCATCGGTTCCGGGTGGAACCACAAGAGCCACCGAGCTCTCGCGTCCTCTCTCGAGCGAGAAGGCGACAGCTGGTGGTGCAAACGCGGCCGAGTCATCACGCGGCCCATCTCGCAGGAATGGATCAACTGCATGGCGGCGTGTGAAGGCATCATTGCCTTTGACGCGGTCCTCTGCAAGGGGCCCCGGCACAGAAACTCACCCGCCTTCGGGCGACCCTTGATGATGGCGGACAACGCGCCGGCCGTGGCCACGCACGCCGTGGGCGGCTGTGATGGCTGCGGCAAAGCGCCAGAGGGCTTGGTGTCGGAGGCGCGCTGCCCGCCGCAGTGCCTGCCTCTTCTCGCCCCCGTCCCCATCATGACATCTTCGGTCCGCGCCGCGACTTGTCCCTCGCAGCCCGGCCAGAGCTTTGTCCCGCGGTGCCCCGACTGCCTCCGCGAGCGCTACTGCACGTGCTGCAACAAGTGGTGGTGCGAATCATGCTTCCAGCTTCCCGGCCAGGGACAGGACGCGGGCGTGAACAACTTCATCGTAGTAGATGAGGACGACGGTGTGGCAAACTTTGCTCAGATCCTAGACTTGCAGGACAGCACACCCAAGATCAAGGTACGACACGGTACATGTTTCCAATGTTCGGCAGCGAGACTGGCTGCCCAGGATGAGATACTCTGATCCCCCATCCATGAGGAGACGGGGGCATCTTCAGTTCAGTGACTTGAGGCCTGCCTGCTGGTGTTTGTGCAGATTTGTACGCAGCACCCATGTCACCTTCATGTACACCTGGCGATGATTTTTTTTGGTCATATTTTGGGAGAGTTTTGTTCATCTTGGGACGTTCTGCTAACAGAGTTTATAGAATCTCGTCACCAAGAGCTGCTGGGAATGTGGCAACAATGTAAGCCATTGATATTGCACATTTCCATTACGCCGGCATCACTAACTCCTGGTAGTGCGAGGAATGCATCAGCCAGACGCAAAGGAGTTGCAAAAAGTGCTCCGCGGGCTACTGCATTGTTCACAATGAAGGCTCATCTTCTGAATATGTACGTCTTCTCATTATCATCTACCAGCCATCTGCTAACACCCGCCCATCAGTGCGATTGGTGCATCTCGCGTGGCCGTGGTCTGGGACGACAGTAAGTCTATGGCATGCTCTTGGCTTTCACAACCGAGAAGAAATTTTGCCGCTAATACGTCTCGTCAGGGACTCCAAGTCGGGCACCCGTATGCAGCTTGCCTCGAATGGCATCCCTCTCAGTCTTGCGCGACGTAGGATTCGAGACGCGCTGACCAGGCCGCTCCTCTGAACAAAAGAGGGACAGGGGCCGCTAGCAGCAAAAATAAAGGAATATACAAATTCCACGCCGGCTTCGTCTAGAGAAATCTAGACATGGAGAAGCCACCAACACACGTAATGTGTGAATTTATGACCGACATGATGAGTATTATTTTGACAAAAAGCTCCCCCCCCCATCAGATAGCGACTCGCATACTCGACTCTAATGCAGAAAATTTGCAAAATAAAACTTTTTTGAGCCACGCCGCTTTTCATATTAACAAGTTCGTATCATTGTGAGAGACATTGTTGTTCTGGTGGGGTAGTAATCCTGTCCTTTCGACGTAGCATCCATCAGGTTGGAAACACCTGGGCGCGGCACGCCAAGATCACCTAGCCGAATCTCGACTTTGGGTTACCCTCAATGTATGCCGGGCCAGTTTAGCCGCCAGTCTGATACGAGATCCAGGACCACGTCATGCATGTTCTTTGCCGGTTGGTGGAAACGCATGTCCCCAGGTATCAACATGGGGGCTGGCGGTTTGCGGCTGGCAAAACGATTCGGCGTCACCTCGGTTGGTTCTCAGGTTAGATTGAGGCCAGCGGCAAATTTACGCGCGACCAAAGCCGAGCCCAGTTCCTCGTATTCCTTCTTCGTGACTACAAGCTTCTCGATGTTGGGGTGACTGGCCAGGTTGGCGGCCCCAAACCAAGTACTAGTAATGGGATCAGCAGGTCTTGCAACGCGCACAACACAGTCGTCCGGTACTCGTTGCACCACCTCCTTCTGGAGACGCTGGATGAAGCCATCAAACAAAGTGCTGCCTCCCACAACGACAATATTGGCCAGCAGGCCAGGCCACAACCCCACTGGAAGTTGTTGCAGAGATTGTTGGATCAAGTCGGCCAACCCTGGTTGCTGCATGCCCATGTCCAAGGGGTTGAATATGAGCTCTGGGACGGCGAACCGCTCGTTGCGCAACGTCAAAACATCTTCATCCGTCTGACCGGCCGCAGCTAGTTTTCGCGCCTTGGTGTGCCTTGTGGGGTCATACTCGCGCATAGATCCCTTTGTGTGTGTGTGAAAATCCGGCAAGACGTAGTCTCTGACAATGCCATCTCCGGACATATGAGACGGTCGTTTCTCGCCCCTTGTGCCCTTCCACGTCTTCTCAATGTCCGACTTGAAGTCTAGTGTCACGTAGCACGCCGCCTCCTTCATTTCGTTGACAATATATGTTTCGTTGCGCATGTCGAAGTGCCGAAGGGATAAAAGACGAGCCAGATAATTCGTGAGAAGATTGCCCCCGACGTCGAGTCGCCGGACCGCTGAGTGCAGTGGCTGCCCACGAAGCAAGGGCGTGATGGTCGTATGGGAGTAACCAGAGTCGACCACCAACATGACTTCTGCGGGGACGTTTGCCGCCGTGGGGGCATCTTTTGGCGTCCGGAAAAGGTTTTGAATATCGTGGTAGGCATTGAAAGTCGAGCCTATCTCCCCCCTTTATTAGAAACCGAGTAATGTACCTTTTTTTTTCCAGCACCACGCCACTTACCAATACCTCGGTAGTAGCTAGCAAATCCGTACTCCTCAAAGACAACTTGATCGCAATTCGTCTGCAGGACTGGCAGCCCGTTCGGGGGCTCTGAAAGAATCAGACGCGCCTCGGTGGGATCGCACTTGGTTGCAGCATTGTCGAAAAGCTCTTGATCCCATATTTCTTTTTGGGCTTCCCAATTGACAATGAACCCTCTCTCAACCGGCCGTCGGAATTGCAGTTCGCCAAAGTCGCTACATTTAGCAATGTCGGATCCGAGAAAGACCTTTCTCGATCGATCGCGTACGATGCAGTTGGGGATGATTCGAGGCTCGCCGACGTGCCCGTTGGCTACAATGCCAGCCTTTAACGTGTATGCGCCGTTGTCTACGATGAGCGTGTTCGTAGGCCGCGGAGGCGGTGCAGGCTTCGCTTTTCGTCCACCTGCCATGGAGTCCTAAAGCCAATCCGTAGCTCTGGCCGTTGTGTGATGGTTGCGAACTACGAGATCGGAGCTTGAGTTCCAATTTTAATGGTTCAGTGGGCAATGTTCAAGTGCCTACCTAAAGTACCTAGGTACCTGTCAAGTCAGACCGCTGGTGGGGCCATGCACCGAAGTACCAGACATAATCAATCACGACACATTCCACAAAATCATGCGAGAAAACAAATTAAAGCGTTAGAAAGGGAGCCCTAAATAGTAACATTGAAAGAATATCCTGCAATTTCATTCGAGCCCAACGTTCTCCGGCCCACACGCTCGCAGGTAGCTCAAGCTTCATGCTCATTGTTCACCACGTCGACTTACATGGGTTTCAAGATTCCAGATCGAAGGAAAGGCATCTCAAAGCCAATAACATGCTGACTAGCGTCCTTGTAGAAGATGACTCTGTCAAGAGGCTCTTTTCCGTAATGGATCCAATCCCCAAGAGTCCACTGTAAACAGTTTTCGAAGCCCGAATTCGAACCAGGCATGTCGGACTCGATGGGCTCGCCAAACTCCGGCCACAGACGCCAAACCTCCGCAGCGACATTCTTCCCATCCATCTGAGTCGTTTGATACAGGTCCGTGGGGAAGAGCCTCATTGCAGAGCCGAAAGTCGCCGTATACTGGCCGATGGTCAGGCCCCAAATCTTCTTGATACCACCAAAGACGTCGTCGCCACCATGACGAATTTCAGAGATGACGAGAGAATCATTGTCCAACTTGAAGCTCGCCTCGACCGACTTGTTTTGTGTGCTGGTACGCTCAGACTTGAAAGTGCGGGCATACTGCTTTTCTGCTTGGTCCCTTGAGGCCTCGTCTGCCGCTGGTACAAAGGTCGCGAGAAGAGCGTCGGAGAGAACCGTGGAAGCCCCCGAGTTTCCCGCAGAGAGCATGATGAGACCCACTCCGTATTCATCTACTATGTTCAGCTGGCTGCTGTAAAGTTGCGGGCCGCCGCCCTTGCCAGCCACAGTGACTGGGTGCGGGTGCGAAGGCGTAAGGGTGAGAGGTCGGGAGAATTCCCAAGGCATACCGACCGCACTGTCCGCGCCAGTCCAGTCCTCCGGCTTCAACCATTTCCGTATTTGCGTTGGTGTTAGATCGAGGGACCGTGTAAGGAGGGCGTAAGCGAACTTGGAGAGATCGGCCACGGATGACACCAAGCCGCCACCACTGTATTTCATATGATCAGTGTCGAGATCTCGGAACCACGGTTGACTTCTGGAATCATCACTCACGGGGCATTGTATCCATAATCTGTACCCCAAGAGCTTTCTCCCGGGGGAATCATAGCCTTGCAATCTTCCCCGGGGGATGGAAGAGTATTCCGCAAGTCAAGCGGCTTGGACACAATATCCGCCACCAACTCCGTGTAGTTCTTCCCAGTGGCTTCTTGAAGTGCCAGGACAAAAACTACAAATGCAATATTTGAGTAAGCTGGGCGCTCCATGGGCGCCGTGACCGGGTATTGGCTTATCATGCCCTCGAGAATCTCTGCAATCACAAGTTAGCCTGGGAATTGCCGCACATTTGGAGGAGCACACCATCTACAGAGCAGCCTTGATTGAGACCTATGGCGCCGCATGGTGGGTAATCTGAGTCCTTAATTGGCGGGAACCCAGATTGGACGAAGAATTCTTTCAGATAATAGTACTCCGAGAATCCGTCTAAGACTTGTTAGCATAGCCACGGTAACTAGTTCCTATAGTATCACTCCATTGAGAGAACACTGACTATTTGCAGGTGCCCCGCTTAACTGCGATCCAAGCATGCGCAGTGTAATGTCTTTCCATTGAACCTTGGACCTGGAGCTATTCAGCTTTGGAATAAAGTCGGTAACAGGACGATCAATGTCGACCCCAGACTTGAGAAGAATATAGTCCGAGATGACCTTGCTCACAGAGCCAATCAGGTACTGCGAATCACGAGTGATATTTTTGACACCTCGGTCGTTCTTCTCAGCCCGATGGTGATACTCCCAAATAGGGACACCTGCACTCTTCTGATACGTGGACACAACAGCCAGGGAAAAAGACACATTCTCCACAGGCCATCCTGCTTTAATGACGCCCTGCACGGCATCATCTAGAGTCTGTGTGAGGTTTTGCCCTGCTAACTTTAAGATCGGCGAGCCGCCGAGATTCGGTTTGGGTAGAACTGGTCCCTCTGGCCGGCAGTTGAGGGCTGCTGAAGTCGGTCCAGCTAGGGATAGAAGCAAAACGTACAATCGAGTGTAGATATGCATTGTAAACTTTTTTATCCCTAGATGGCCCTTGAGGATTCATGTTTGTTTATTCGATTTGCGTTGTTGCAGCCTTCTGGGGCCTATGATACATGATTTCAGATCATGCTGTCCTTGGGTTACGCAGCGTCTATGGCAAGCGTTGATGTAATTGTGCCTCGAAGCTTTCAACTCTTGAAGCCGAAATACGAATGAAGATCTAAAACACTAAACGGCATGTGTCAATCTCCTGCCTAGAAAGGTTAACATGCCACCCACGTTTTCTTCCGGGCCGGATCACCGCCCGCCATGACGATCAATTTGTACTTGCTCCGCATACTCCGTACATACACATCTTGAATTAGGCATGTGGGGCTTGCAGGGAAAGCTAAACGCGAGATACGATGCGGCTCAGAGCTGAGTGAGGTGTTGCGCTAACGTGCTGCGATGGAATTATCAAGGAATCTGACTAGCTTGCCGGTGCTTATACCCGAGGAACATGTACCACTGCCATCAACGGACCATAATCCTGGAACACAGTGCCATCAGAACAGGTATGGCCAAAAGAAGCAGCCAAGTCTTTTCCGGGAGATGCGGCCCAAGGACGACATGGTAAACCTGCCGTGGTCTCGCCACAAGTTGTCATTGCTCTTGTAGAGTCACACGGATGTGCTGGCTGGAAAGCTGGTGGTTGCAAACAGTTGGCACCAAGGCCCTCGTTACGGTTAAGCACAAGAGACCGACCGTATATCTTCCATGGGTCAGAAATGCGTATTGAACACTGTTAAATCTTGGCGTTGTCTAAAAACGTCTTGGGTATCAAACCCCACCGCTGCGCGACTGCGTCGATGGGAACAACACCTTTTGCTTGTCTCATGTTCGTAAAGGCCTCTCCGCCACTCTGCCACGAGTAATCCTTCCACGGCCCCAACCTCGGCCACATCTGTTGCGTGACAATACGGTTGATCCTATGGCTCCTCTCTGCCGAGTCTTCATCCGCTCGGTTCGCAAGCCCAACAACGCTCTTCCACAGGGCCCACGTCTCCTCCAGTTCTTCCACGTTGGAAACGCCCATTACACTGACACCGATCCGAGCAGGCGAGCCAGTTTCGTCCACTCTTGCCTCTGATAAGAGCTCCGGCGGGTAGGCAACCGAGCCGAATTGGCTGCCAACGTGAGCCCAGTTTTCCAGAGCCCAACGAATGGCAATTTCTTCGAGATGCTCTCCTGCCTTGCTTGCAACCGCAGCCAAGCTGTGGCAAGCTTCTCGTAGCCGGGGCGGCGCAGGGTGCCAGGAGGCCATAGGACTACTGTCAGCTCCTCTGGTTGTTATCAAGCCCATTCCTAGCATGCTAGCATTAGGTATACAGTCCACGCCGGCCTTCTTGAACCGGTCAAGGATATCGGGCCGTCCAAGCTGGGTATTTTGAATGCAGTAATTGGCGTAAGACATGACAGCATCCAGGGGCTCCCCAGTCTGTTCCAAAACCATCTCGGCTAGCGACACCAAAATTTCCACAGGATACCCGCTAATTCCCACGTAACGGACCAAACCTTGATCTCGCAATCTTCGCAGCTCCTTGATAGCCTCCAAGACCTCCGTCGGAGATACGAATTCCACATCGTGGGCATAGACAAGGTCCAGGTAGGGTGTATTCAGGCGCTCAAGACTGCGACAAACACTGTACCGAATCCATGGCGGCGAGTAATCGAATTCATTGCTCGCAATTCGGCCAGCCTTTGTAATGAGAAAATAACCATCACGATTTGGCGGCGGTGTTAATGTTCGGAGCGCATCGCCGAGCAGAACTTCCGAGGGCCCATAATACGGCGAGGTGTCAAAGGCGGTAATGTTGTGCTGGAGTGCCCTTCGAACGATGTCGGTGTAGGGCATTTGCGAAGGGTCGTCGTTGTATTGGTAATTGAAAGTGGCCGTCCCCAAGATAAGGGGAGGCAGAACCTGCGAGAGCGGCCTTGGGTGCCGCGCCATCTTGGTAGCAGAATTTGGTGCTGCTGATAATGCCGAAAATGAGTACGCCGAGCTATGTCATGTTTCAAAGAGAGAGCCTGTGCAAAGTTCGAAAAATAAACAGGCGAACGACCAAGGCACCTGTAGTAGGTCAAGGCGGTGGAGTCGTGTTTGTACCACGGAAAAGAAAAGACCGCAGATTCAGGCTGGAGAAGAAGAAATTGATGCTGTTAAGTACTTCGGTACCTCCACATAATAAGTGTAGGAGCATCGCGGAACCTTGGGCGGCCGGCGGGGCCAAGGTCCCCCAAAGGTCAATGTCGCAAGCGGGTGGTGGCAGGCGAAATTTTTCATGGCGGACCAGTCGGCTTGTCATTGCCCGTGCTGCCAGCGCCTGGCGTCATTGATTCGCAACTCCTTTGCTTAAGAGGCTGCTCTTTCCTAGCCCGAGCCCCAGGGCTTTTAGCATGCATCTAAGCTTACTTAGGCAGTATCGGATGTAAGCGTCACCGCGGCCGGCGACCTCGCCAACTAGAGCCTACCCAAATGACCGTATTGTGCGCGCTGTCACCTGCTTGCTTCTCGACAAAAGGCACGATAAAACAGCATTAGTACTATTTCATAACTTCCTTGAGACAGTCAAGTGCCTGAGAACGTAGGTGGCTAATTAATTCCGCGCGTACTTTGGCACGCCATGTTATGAATCGTCCATTAGCCAAGTGTGCTTAGTAAGGCATTCTCAATCGTGTGGGCGCCAACCAACCAACACTCAAGTAGCACCCATCGTAGATGGCAGACAGCAGATGCCAACAGCTGCACGTGCTGGGAATCTTGCAATGTCAAGAAAGAGGCATCATTATGTATCTGCCCGTCGATTCATGAATAACCGCAGCCGTCTCCTTTGCATCTCCACTTCATCGGCCTTGTCAACGTTGCTCCCCATTCATTACGGAGTATTACGTCTCTGATTCTCTGGTGGCTGACGACATTACAACTATTCACGTACCAGGAGAAAGACCATTGCCAGTGGCCCCGGATAACGAAACGTCTCACAAGGACACAGCTTCACATCACAATTCATTGAAGGAACCGAATTCAACAGTACACTGTATATTGGCAGATGGATATGTATGGTACGATCTACAACAAGGACATATATTACTTCCGCACTTTTTGATCCAGGAGCTCACATTCCTCTGGATATACCACTCCCTGTCCTCTATTCTCTCAAGAAACAACTAAAATGCATATTTTATGACAATTATACGGGCCCTATACCTGCTCCGCAACAGGCTTCTCAATATAGTCGCCAGCTCCGACGGTGTTAGCGAAGGTGCTAGTGGGCTTCCACTTCGCCGAATTCCGGGGGGTAGTCTCTTCCATCATCCTGTCGACCTGCTCGAGGGAGAGACCCTTAGTCTCGGGGATCAGGAAGTAGGCATAGACAAAGGCGCAAGTGCAAAGACCGCCCCAGATGAAGAAGACGGATGACTTCAGGTTGCCGCGATCCTCGCCCACCATGTACGGGGTAATGACGGCAATAATGGTGTTCCACAGCCAGTTAGAGGCGGTGGAGAGGCCGACACCACGAGATCGGATAGGGAGGGGAAAGATCTCGCCGATGACGATCCAGGCACCGGGACCCCAAGTGGAGGCGAACCAGAAGATGAAGATGGCGATGAAGGCAATCTGGGCGTTGACGGCAGCGATGTTATCCGCAAGACTCTTGGTGGGGTCCGAGGGATCAGGATGGGTGTGGTTGAAACCAACAGTAACACCGATGATGGCAACGAGGAACTGGCAGATGAGCATTCCGAAAGCGCCGGCAATGAGGATGGTGCGACGACCGAATCTCTCAACAGTCCAGAAAGACAGAGGAGTTGAGCACACATTAACAAGAGTGAAGATGAGTGAGATCAGGAAAGTGTTGTCGATGGCGCCTGTGGACTGAAGGAAAGGAGTTGAGTAGTAGAAGATGAAGTTGACACCGGTCCACTGCTGCATCATCTGCAGGGAAGTTCCCAGAATAGTTCTACGCAAGTTGGACTTGGCACTCCAGAGGCTACCCTTGAAGCAGTTGGCCCAAGATCCGAACCAGGTGGTGGAGGGAATGAGAGCACGCTCGTACTCCTCGTTGGCAATGATCTCAGCAACCTCAGTCTGGACATATACGGAGTCCTCGGGTTGGCCACGGACGCGGGACAGAGAGTTGATGGCCTTCTGGACCTGACCCTTCTTGACGAAGTAACGAGGGGAGTCGGGGAGGAAGAGAAGACCAATACCCAGAATCAGAGCCCAGGGGAACTGAATAGCAATGGGCACACGATAGACACCAGTGTTGTCGTAGTTCTGGGTGGCATAAACCACGATAGAGGCCAACATGAGACCGATGGTGATGCAGAACTGGTAACCAGCTACGAGAGCACCACGAACTTTGCGAGGACACTGTGAAGGAACCCGGGATTAGCATTGCTCATGGCGACTGCGCGAGGTAGGAATCGCCCAAACCGCATTCCTCGTTTACTTACAATCTCAGACATGTACAAAATGACAATGGCGGACTCGAAACCAACACCAAGACCAGCAATGACACGGCCAGCGACGATAGGGCCAAGAGCATGATCGGGGCTGGTGATCATCTGAACAACAACACCGAGGGCATAGATGACGCAGCCAATGATGACGGTCCATTTTCTGCCGATCCAGTCGGCCATATCACCAGCAATCAGGGCACCGAAAAAGGTTCCGCAAGACAAGATGGACACGATCAGAGAGGAGTGAGATTCGGAGATCTTGTCAACAGTAGGACCCTCGACGGCGTGGATGAAGATCTTGGAGCCCAAGACGCCATTGATGTAACCGGAATCGTAACCGAAGAAGATGCCACCGAATGAGGCGAAGGCGCAAAGAAGGTAGGCCTTCCATGTGACGGGAGCCTCTATGTGCTCAACATCAGGAGCAGTATGAAGGGTAACGGAGGCCTTTCGCTCCTCCCCTGGCTTCTCGAGACTGGCAGACATGGTTGCTCTTCTCGACAGTGAGTCGGTCTCCGGTGATTGCTTCCTTGAAGTTTGAACAGTCGCAATGTCTGGGATATCGAAAAATCCAAAGGCAAGACAAGGTGTGGGGCAATAAAGGAGACAGCTCGTCAGACAATGGATGGACTGCACGAGGAGCAGGACAGAAAGATCAACCGCAAACAATGAAGAAGGGGGTGAAGACGACTTTTTATCCCACGAGCCAGCGGAGCATTCGATCAAGCATTGGCCAGGATGTCAATGTTGCATCCCGTCCATCATCCATCTTCGACAGTGCCATCTGCCCGCGTGAGTGTCCCACACATAGGCTATGGGGCGTAGTAATTATGAAAATGAGACGGGCAGCGAGGCTTGCAGGAGTGGCGTTCATTCACATCCGACACATTCTGGGCGAAGGGCTAGCAAAACACACGAGGCCATTCGCCAGAAGGGGGGAAAACCTGCGAACCGGCATGGCTGAGCTGTTCTCCAGTCCGACTCAGGCGCCTGTGATTGACTGTGAAGCTCCGGGGTCGAGACATGAAGCAAGAGGCGCGTGTCCGGGGAACCCGCGTGGAGATTTGCGGGGCCAGACCGGCCTGGGCTACGAGGTAAGGCCGATGATGGTGGCAGATGGAGGCAGCGGCCCACATCGGCTGGCAAAGAAGCGCCGAGAAGGGCCGGCCGTTGGCCTGTTTTGTGCTAAGGGGCCAATGGAAAAGTCATGGAAACGTTTGGAGATGACCAGCAATGGCCCTGGCGGCTTCGTCCCTGCTTGGCTTGGCTGTGCCTGCTGCCCAACTGCCTACCCCGTTGGACCCTCTCCACTGTCTAAGCATTCGGAACACCAAGTCGGTGTGGGACAAGAGAGTTGATCCCCCAGCATCCCCAAGCCGTCCACAAATATCCCCATGGGAAAGCAAATTTGGAGACCAGCGCCGTGTCAAGGGGAGGGTGTGAAAATTGCACCAGACATACTGCGGAATGCCACTCGGGTAAAACTCAAAACGGAATTGAGCCTCGGCAACGGAGTGCGCAGACGCGCGTGTCATGATCATTCGACTATTAGCAGCTCCACGACGGCAGGAATCCGTACAGCGTTTAATACCATTCGCCCGCTCCAGATGGGCTGTTGTTGGCCCACCATCAGCATAGCAACGACTGCATCTTCCATGCGACGCAAAGCTGTATACCGTTCACATGAGGCTTCTTTCCCTACCCCCGAAGCTGTAGTGTATGTACTGCGCAAGATGCAAATACCTCGAGGCGAAATTAAAGTCAAACCCGTTTCATCCAGCACAAAACTCATACATGCCCTACCATGGCAGACTTCACCACCAAGGATACCTAGACAATGACCGCCATGGCACGACGGCATAATGGCAGTGAACGGTGTGGGATTAGTGTAATATGATGGCTCCCTAGTCGTCGCCAGGCGCAATCAGGGCAATAAGGCATAAGCTTGTCACTAATAGCAGAGTTGCGGCAGCATGACATCGTGGGCAGAAGCATAGTCACGAGACCCAGTTGATTTTGTTGACACCGTGGAGACACATCCTTCACATCTTTCACCGGCACCCAGCCGTGTGTTTCTGCACCGACCACGCTCGTGACGATTCGCGATTCGTGGGCCGTGCTCAAATCGGTACTCAAATTGAACGCCTGCAGAATGCTATGCATGCATGTGTACGTCGATTCCCCCATGATTTGTATACAGCACAATACGCACCAGACGTCACCACTCTCTGGCTATGGCGTTGGTGTCAGTCTTCATTTCCCAGCAAGCACTTGAGAACATGAAAGTTAACCGTGGCCCACACTCAGCGCGCGGCGACAATGAAAATTACGGGTCTGAAAATCCCAATGGGTTAACTCTCGGCCGTACTCGACACGCTATTTCATGCCCTAGACCCTCTACTCACACTCTATTTGACCGAGCTAGTACCAGCGACTTGGCAGAAGAGCGTCCCGCAGCTCAGGATTGTTACAGGATCAGGGGTGCCGCCATCGCGTTACAAGGGTAGCTCCGGTACTGTGGCTGCAGGACATCACCTCTCTTTATGCTGCAGATCAACGAGTGGTTGTTCTCTGTCACGTCATGGCGGTGCAAAGAGCTTTTCATCGAGACGACTACTTCATGCCCAGATCACTTCCCAACATCGAGCCCAACCATCCGGGTTCAAAATGTTAGAATAAGCCGATTTTCCCTGGCGTAAGAGTATATGGGAGCAAGATAACCATCCCCACCTCGTCGTGTCACAAGATTTTGAGTAAAGGTTGAAAACGGACGGTCAATGGGTCGGCGGACTGGTCGATGGCCGATCCAAGAATAGCCGCACGGAGGAAGGCCGTGGCACAGAGCATCAATTCTTGTCAAGTGGCTTCCGTCTCCCTCATCTCGGCTGCCCACGGGGTTCCTCGTGGCGTTGCAGGGGTCTCTCATGGCAAAACACCGTCTGGTGGATTTGGCCGAATTCGAACAGTAGACCGATGGACATCGTCGAGCCGCGATCATGCTTCACTCGCGGCTATGTGGCCCGAATGAAACGCCACTTTAAGCATCGGAACAATGCAGCCAAAACTACTATTGAGAGCCTCTTGTTAAGCTTGGAAATCATTCACACCGTTCGGCTTACCGGAGTGATACAGATGAAGGGGAGCAGGTGTTCTCCTCTCCGTTTATTGACCGCGAAAGAACCGCTATACGACGATCATGAGTACTCCGTAGCCACGGTCAACTTACCACACCAAGATCCGCGATCCGCCTTCAGTATCATCACGCATTGCGATGAAACAACAGCCACCAGCATCAAATATCTATGGCTGGGAGCAGCTTTGGCTTTCAAATCGCACAATACTCCTAGGTGCCGAAACGCCATGTGGCATAAATCACACTTCGTCAAAGTTCTCCCGCACCAAAGAGTTGGTGTGGTTGTGTTTTGCAACAGACGTTGCGCAATCCCCTGACCAGCATTCCGTGTCAGGTTACCTTGCATCGACCCGCATCACGTTGAGTACTACCCAAGGCTTGCACAGCGTGTTACTAACCGGGGATCTGGATCAGCTAGAGTTCTGGCAACATTCGACTGCATTGTCATATTAATATGGACGTGACCATTTTGTTTTCGTTGTGAAAAAAGAATCCCTCGCTTACAACAAAACCTAGTATTATACTGTGAGTAATTCGTCCGTCTGGCCCTGGCAAAGCAAGGAATAGTACGGAGTACTACTTCCAAGCCGTTGCGCATGAGAGCTGCATATGAAAACAACCAACAGTCAATCGGCTACCATCTCGTTCTCGGTGATCCTCGTCTAAGGGAAGCCTCCGGGCGCAGGTTAGAACGGTCAGTCTCCGACGCGATGCGATGCATGCTGCCGGCTCCGTTCCCGGTCGCCTGTTACCACGATGGAATGGCAATGCTTGGCCCAACAAGCCATTCAACGCGGGACGGCTGGCCCTGTGTCGTGCTCGTGGGCCGTTCTACGGGCGAAATGCATGGGCACTGCGACGCCACTTCACAGGTGAGACCGAGAAGTGAAGCCAATACCTTGGCCAACCTTATTTGGGATCTGTCTTCTCTCTCGGCCTGTGCTCCGCCGTGTCGCCATCGGCGTCGATGCGACGATGCGACGAGACCAACAAATATATTGTGACTACGGAGTACTACATGTTAATTTGCACCACAGAAAAAAAAAGAAAAAAAGAAAAAAGCAACACTGTCCTGGTACGGAGTAGTAGTTATTATGTCCCGCTTAGACAGCTCGTGGCACAGTGGCGCCAATGCGTCTGCCGATAGACCGGATCGAGCCAACGGAGTGAATTGCTTGGGCGACGGCAACAAAGAGAAGCATCCCATCAGGGCCAAGACTTTCTTATCAGCTTTCCACATTAAGAATTCGCCATCACCTCCATGGGGTGGAAATCTCTCCGTTCTAGCAAGCATCTGGGGTTTCCGCGGATCTAGGGTTGATAATAACTCTATTTGCATCCGTCGCCCAGGCACATTACCCCCCGTCACAATCACTATCGATTTGTCTGGTCGAAAGACGGTGCCATTGAGCGACCAACGAAGTCTGCACTGGTTCCGAATTTTTCGTTCAATACACGATGACATGCGCATACCGTATGCATTGCCCTTTTTTTTGGGTTGCCAATCGTTGGTCAGATGACGTTTACAACAAATGTTGGGGTCGATTGCTTGATCAAATTCCACAAGAGACATGATCCTCGAGTACATTGAAGACGGATCGAACGCGACGCAGTCAATCCACAGCAACGTCAGATGCGCCACCTATTGCCCCAACAAGAAGCAATACAAAGTTACGGATCCCCTGGAGCTTGGATTCATTTTGCGACCTAAAATATTACGTAGTACACAGCGTGAAGACTCCATCACTAACCATGCTTAGTGCCGTAACCCGCCGTAAATGCACGGTTATCAATAGAATGCCTCCTTATACAAGACAAGAGCAGAATGGGCACCAGAGACACGCTTACAGGAGCGAATCCCACGGCCACTTCCGAGATATTTCACACATGCCAGGCATTCTGGAGAAAATACCTATTGTGTAGGGTAGGTTCCGCTTGAAAATTCTAAATGTTCTGGTGATTGTATTGTTTATATCAAATGCGCAATGATATACACCGTTATGCGTTAATATGAGCATACAGTAATCTATGATTTTGTCAATCCTTCTATTTCGCGACTCGAGTCTACATCGAGCTTGTCGACGGAGGAAATACCCTGTCGTGATGCGAATTCTTGACCAACGTTGTCGGAAATCAAGCCACTGCCGAAACAACCACCACATCATCCGTAGCAGCATATCGGCGACACTCAATTCTTTTGATGATCTCAACATCTATGAAAGGTTTCCCGCCACGTAGGAGTCACCAGTCGCCTCATCGGTACCGTGGATATCCAAGCAATAATGGATGCAAAAACACGCCCGGTAGATCTTGGCTCTGCAACCCGGGCCATTTACTCGCCATAACAAAACCTCATCGAACAAACTTGTAAACTGATAGGCTTCATACCTAATTGCCAGCCACACATTCAACAGCCACCGGAGAAGCCAAGATGTTCATCTTGTAAAATTCCCAGTCGGCTGTGTCCAGGGTAAGCCAAGGACACAGGAGTCAGGCACGGAAGAGTACGGCGAGGTCTAACCTATCCGGGTTTTCCACAGCAAGCAATTCAGAACCGTGTACTGAAATTTATGGATTACACGTGCCGAACTAGACTGAGAAAGCGCCAAAATGGCTCCCACGTTACGAAAATAGGCCACTGTACTCTACTTCGCTGGCACAGATCCTGGTGGACGTGAACCGGACATGATAAAACACCTTCAGGTGAGGCTACAGTTTTAGGAACAATTATCCTCAGGCCACCACACAATATAGAACGCACCTCACGAGGAACCATGGTATATCCCGGCCACACTAAAGGGTGAAGGGTCAAGGGTCAAGGGTGAACCAGCAGCGTAAGCACCTCTATTCAAACTCAAGGGGAGTATAGCGTGCTGGCTTGGGGATGCAATTCGTCATGTTGTGAGGCGAGCTAGCATATGCTCAAGTACAGGGAGAAATACAATTTCTTGGCCCCTTACATCTCTAGCACGAGCTGAGGACTGTCCAGAATGTGAGACGAGGCCTCCTTCGGTACTAGATTATCGTATCAATGCCAGGTAGTCAAGTTGGCTGCGACGAGGCTATTCGGCACATGCATGACAATGTCAAAACAGCAGCATATAACTAGACTTGATCAATGTTCGGGACATCCGATTCGATCGGGAAGTTACCCAAGGACCCTTGATCAAAGACACAAGGCCCATGAGGCAAAGTGGCCGAGAACCCCGTAGTGAACCAAGGGCTTGCATGTAGCAGCGAACTAGGCGAATCTAGAGAATATCGTGTAAAACCATTGGCCTATGATATTTGCTGGTGGGGTGTCTTTATCACTGCCTTCGAGATATCGAGGGGAGTGATGGGATATACAAACCTGACTGCTTTTGCTTTGTCTTCAGATGGCTGTGTACACTTCTAACCCGCAGTCGGATCCATGGTTTCAATTTACTTCCGCATCACATCAAAACAGTCACGTCGGCACACGGCACGAAATCAAAGCTTGCATTGTTATTCCAAACCAAACTGCCTAACGTGCTGCACCAAAACTCCTCCTCGGTCAACACTACCGAGGAGAAAAGCAAGTCTTAGGAGTTGGTATCGGCTGTTAGTAGTTTGCAGCTCTAAACCACTAGCGTCAAGAGAAAGAAGACACCTCCAACCGCTCCCCGGATCCTTCTCCACTGTGGAGAGGAGCAAGTACCGATAGTACTGTGTCTATAGTGAGCCAGAAAAGGAGCGTGACCTATTGAGGTATCATTGTTCAATGCCCAGCATCGTCTTTGACGTGTCATCGTAACATGATTGGCAGAGACCAGTCGCCGCCAGGCTGCGTTTGGTGCCCTTTTAACACCTTGCGCAAAAAAGAAAGACACTGGGGCGGGAGGGGTATATAACGGTGATCGTAAGTCATCAATTTTGAAGAGGAAAAGTGTACTCTTCTAGGTATGGTCCGGGTGGCTCGATCCAGTCCGAAATTTCCAAGGCTTCCCCGTCGAATAACATTTCTGGATCGTGATCCATATAAGAGTAAGAGTCCCAAGTTGCTGCGGCTTCTTCACGAAAATCATTCTCCGTCGATAGTTGCCCTTCTAAGTGGTGTGTTGACGTGCATGTCGGCTCCTGAAGTCGTACCCGTCTAGACTGGTGAGAAGGCGCGTCACAGACGGCATCCCCAGGTTCTGACGGATGAGAAGAAAATAGATATCCTATTCATTTGGCTTCTCATCAGACATTATCCAGCACACAGCAAGAGCAAAATAGAAGAAAGTTTATCACAGAAGCTGTGGCTAAGCTTACCTTTGACCAACTTCACCTCAGAGTTTCTTCTTAAAAACCCTTGCACCCAGTGTTTGCCCAGTGGCTGGTTGTCTCCATGTACAACCAAGATGCGGCTGGCGAATTCCTCAAATTGTCCCTGAGTTGGAGGAACTCCAAGGGCAACAAGATGGAAGATCCAGCGGGACAACAGCTTTTCCTGTTGCCGTGAGAAACGCTGTCGACACTCATGGGCTTCGGCATGTGAAATGCCACCATTGAGTCGGTCTTGCAGCGTTGCTCGTGGGATATGCCATCGTTTAGCAGCTGACCGTTGTGAAGTGCCTTGGTGGACTTCACGGACGGCTTCTTGCAAGTCCTTTTCGGTATACTTGGGCATTTGGGGTGGATGTGCGGTATGAAGGGTCTATCAGAAAAGGTATGTAGGATGCGTGTGAATTGGAGGGTTGGGACGATAGCTAGGGGGGTGGGCAACGTGAACAGGGTCTGTAGAGAATAACCAACGACGAAGAAGCCTTGGGCAAAAAGCAAATGTTAGAGAACAGTCAAGTCGGCCATGATGGCCCGGACTGATGCGTGAAATGGCCAGATAATGGGTGGAAAGAGAAGAGGTGGGAGGTGGCCACTTGATGCCTCAAATACTCTCAGCTTTGTGGCAGAAGGGGAAAAGGCGGAGAGGAAGTCTGGCGCTGGTGATCGGAGGGGGCAGACAGAAAGGGGGCAGGGAAGGCGAGGTCAAACCCCCAGAGGAGGGCAAGAACGCAAAAAGCACGGGTTACAGGTTCCGGGTTGGGAGGCGACCAAAGAAAAAAACAAGTGAGCAGCCAATCTGGTGCGAGCTAATCATCCCGAGTCGAGACAAGCCAAGTACAAAGTACTAAGGTACGTAGAGTCACAGTCGCAATGACACGAAATAAATGAAGCAGCAGGAAGGAGCCGTCCGCTGGCCAGGTGGGCAAAGTGGGCAGGCCCTTCGAGTTTGCGTGGGCCACGTCAATGGGCCAAAGTACGGTCTGGTATTGTATAAAGCGAGTAATAGGGGGCACAGCCTGGGGGCACAGTGCTTGCACCCGGGAAACAGAGATCAGGGAAACTCTCCCATTCCCTTGGATACCTAGTAAGTTACCTATAGGTACTTAAGTAGGCTCCGGGTGTGGGAATGCGCCAGTGTGAAAATGCCAGGGAAGCAGGACGATGCACGCCACGGCTGCCATTAGCCACCAGCACCACCTACAGCACTCCAAAGGCACGATGAACGCTCAGGCGGAAGGGCGGCGGGGCAGGGGGCCCTGGGATCATCTGGTCAAGTGCCTCGGGATGCATCACGGCTTTACGGCACCTGTAGCGGGTGCATTGGTCGAGGCGTGTGCGTTCTGGCGTACGTAGGTGCTGGCGTGTACCCAAGGTTGGTGTGTTATCCTCTCCTGAGTAGCACGAACATGCTGAGATGGAACATTGAATACGTATTGACATTTGAAGCATAGACACGGCAGCCAAAGACTAAATACTGGCCCAGCATTCTCCGCTACCTTAGCGTCGACAGGGCACTTGACTTCATGAGAAGATCCGATTTGACGACTGTCGACTGCTCTCGACGACATGGCGCGACGTGTTGAATGCGGCGGTGCTGGCGTCGAGTTGCAGCGTCCGGCTACAAGGCTGTACGAGACAGCGGAACGACCTTGCACATGGACAACCATAGCCTGAGACACAGCCGCCACAGCATTATGTCGCCCATTGACGTTATTACCAGACAATGTCGAGTCTACCCTCAGAGTGTCCATATCCGTACATACCGTGCCCACCAATCTAGTTCATCGCCTGTGTCAAAACACCTCATACATCATCGTTTTCTGACGGCACGGCGTGCGAGGAGCCCGGGCCGCGGTCAGACCGCCTCATCGCTCACATGCATTTTCAAACGTGTTGAAATGTTGGGTAATTTTGTGAGCCGGATCAAATGTCAAAACCAGGAAACGACTTGAAAGGGGGCCCAGCGACCATTTTCGTCACTTCTCTTTCTACTGATAAATACAGAAAAAAAAAGACGACGATGATGAAAGGACATTCACATTACGGTGGGCTTTGCGGAGGATATGTTTCGTTCCGTTTGCGAACCTACTCGACTGCTCAATCCGCATCCAACAAACTTCGACCCAGACTGGCCCACTCACGCATCGGGACCATAATTGCTCCATCTTCTGCCGCCGCTGGGTTCTTAATACAACGGGGAACCATGGTTACAGAAGAAAGTCTCTCTGAACTACTCCGTAGCAGGGCTGATATCGCTAACTAGAATCTGCAGCTAGCGGCTCACCTTGTCATCAAATGCCCGTCGTCACTATCGGAACTCATCAGGCTTGAGCCATCAGCGTCAGCCGTTGCCGTGGGACAGGAACTGGCCGCAAACGAATTTTGACACTGTTGGAGACCGAGTCGCGAACACGCAAATGCCTCAAACATTTTCGAGTCGTATTCTTGATTGAAAGACTAACAAATGCAGTGTGCTTGACAGTGGACTGACCAGCACCCACCAGCTCCTTTTTCAGCTCCATGCCCAGCCTCCTCAACTGCTGACTCTGCGTCTGCTACGGAGTACTCCGTATGCATGTGCAAATGCACTTATAGAGCCCGGGGAGCGCAAATGATTGATCAATTGAAGATAAACTTCAGCAAGCATGGCACGTCGTAATCATACACATTCCTGGAGGTACCAGGAGCTTGTGGTGCAAGCTCTAAAGTTACCCTGAGATGCATGAGTCTTGTTGATGGATTAACAAGCTTGCATCGCGCACTGTCTGGTCAGTCAACTGCCAAGCATCATCTACCCTCAAGGATACCTGCCTGGGAGGCCTCGTTCGGGACCGATCCGAAAAAGGGACCCTGCCTCAAACTGCTGCACTCCACCAGTTGGGCTGAGCTGGTCTTAACTTTGCGGTTGGCGAAAGGGCTTCACAGTCCTTGTGCGCCGCTGTGTAATGACGACGGTGGCCGTGGCAATGCCCTTTGGGCGCATGGCGTCTGCCCCATGCCAAGAGCATGACAAGTGAGATGACGGCAAGGAGTCAAGGGGTCAAGGAGTGGATGAGTGCCACTGCAGCGTTTCTCACGCGATGGCTGCAATTTTATCGACGCCTTGGGGGTCACAAAAATCCAAGCACGGTCCTAATCGAGGAGATGGAGCTCATGGAGTACATCACACACGGAAGCCCAGGACCACCACGACACGCAAATGGGACTGGCCAGACCAAATAAGAACAACGAATAGTCACCGACTAAGGACGTTGGTACTCATACTCGCATCATTCGGTCCATTTTGTCCCCTTTGTTCTCGTGGTAGGCAAACGGGTTCTTGCCACGCTAGGGCAAATGCTTGCAAAAGTGCTCAAAAATGCAGCTACCCCAAAGCTATCACCATCTCATGTCGCCGATCAGCCACAAACCGAGGACTGACTCCCCTGCGGCGTGATTATTCCACTGTGGGTTGCTCCAGCCGCTGAGGTGCTGACCTACAGCGCCTCCCATCTCCCTGGACAGCGCTGAACATGTTCCTGACACATATATCGCTCATACATGCTGCTCTTTAACTCTTACCTGAGCTACACGGTAGGTACTTGTACTCTGCTACGGGGAGACTTGGGAAAGTCACATCAGCTTTCGCCTCCCTCACCTCTCCCTCGCCTTTTGTTGCCGCCCATCATAATAAACTAAGCAGCCCCTCACTCTATACTCGTCTCGGACAAAGCGATTTTGGCAATAATGGAATGCTTTTTCGTGGGTGTAGACCATCAACCGCTCCAAAACGTAGACCCGTTCCCGATAACACACCCCGTCCACCAGCCTTATTGTTCCTATTTCCCCCTCTCGTTTAGCCCCCTGGACCAAAATTCTGGCACGGCAGGACTACTAGTGCTCCGTACAATGACAGCGGATGATGACGGCAGGTCCTTTGAACCTTGAACTAACCAACCAACACCCATGTGATCTCTTGTCATGCAAGTGATGGCAGTGGCCGAAATGGAGGTAGCTGTGTCAAGCGAATATGTTACCAATAACCGGCCAGGTAAGATGAAAGGCTGACTTGATTGTTTGCATTGCGACGGAGAAACAGAACTATATCGGGAAACTTGCACCGAGCTGCTCATAAGCTTTGCGCGGTGTTGCAGTTGAATTTTTTTTGTCGCCGCATTGGTTGCGCATATAATTGCCCATTCGTGTGCTTCTGCTTTACTGATCTTTGCTATGCGTAGCTCCTAAGGATTTGGATCTTCACGACGTTGAACTTGGGCCACCCTGATAGACCTTAGACCCGCTTCTATCATAGATTTCTTGTGTTCTCGATATATTTTCTGCCTTAGACTGCTTTCCATTTTCTTTTCTTACATTGGTCATGTCGTCAGAAAAACCCGAGGACTCGCACGCTGCGGATCGAATTCGTTGGCGAGACGAGGAAGAAGGCCATGATCGCCGCAGAAGTCGTTCCAGAGCCGGGCTTCGTCGTGCCAGTTCTACGGATTCTCTTGCCATACGGTCTGTTCATGGGAGAACCACGGTTGATCCCGCTGTTACGCTACCTATTCAGTATCGTACCGTGTAAGTGGTATTAGTGGTCTCGCCTCTCACGGGCTCGAGACTAATCTTCTCACAGTTCATTCCAAATAGAGGAATCTAAAGGCAAGGAACGAGCAGAATTAATAAGGGCCAGCGAGGTTGCGGCCAAGGGTGAGTCTCCTAGTCTCCTTCCAATCACAGGGCACCTCGACGTGAACCGGATTCTGAACCATGTGTCACTACAGACCTGAGTGACCTGCAATGGCACACAATAACGGCCACGGAAGTTGCCGAGAGGCTAGTAACTTCATCAACCAACGGGCTGTCAGAGAGCCAAGCTGAAAGACGACTCGAGGAGTATGGCAAGAACGCGCCGTCGCCCCCAAAGACGAACCGAATCCTTACTATATTAGGATACTTTTTCAAGGGCTTTGGCGGCATTCTTCTTGTTGGCAGCATTTTGGTCTTTGTATCATGGAAGCCTCTCGGAGATCCACCTCAGCTGGCCAATCTGGTATGCGAGAAAATGCTTATACTGCCGTCATGCTTTCATGATGCTAATATTTTCTTCTTTGAGCAGGCACTGGCGATTGTTCTTTTGGCAGTTTTTTTTCTTCAAGCAGCCTTCACCATGTTCCAGGATTGGTCAACTTCGCGAGTGATGTCGTCCATAAAGGACATGTTGCCAGAACAATGCCACGTCACGAGAGACGGACAGATGGTACACATGCAAGCCGAGGACCTTGTTCCCGGGGACCTCGTTACTATACATGCTGGAAACAAGCTTCCTGCCGACTTGCGCTATATTGAGGTGTCACCTGACCTCAAGTTTGACCGCTCTGTACTGACCGGTGAATCCAGACCCATTTCGGCAACAGTTGATCACACAGATATCAATTACTTGGAAACGCACAATATTGGACTCCAGGGAACTCATTGTGTTATTGGGTCTGCCCTCGGTATTGTCGTGGCAACTGGCGACCGGACAGTTTTCGGTCGTATTGCTACCTTAACGAACGAGCCTAAGACGGGCATGACGACTCTGGAAAAGGAAGTTCTGTATTTTGTCCTTTTTATTTGCGCAGTCATGTTCACCATGATTGTCGCTGTTGTCATCATTTGGTATGTAGTATCTTCGGCTTTATTCACACTCCCTGCAAATTTTGCAGCCCAGCTAACTCCTCCGATTTACAGGGCCGCCTGGCTGCGACGGGATCATCCTGACTGGATTAATGTGCCTACTTTGATTGTCGACTGTGTTAGTGTGGCTGTTGCATTTATTCCTGAAGGCCTTCCTATCGCTATCACTGCTGGTCTGACTATTACCGCAAACCTGATGAGAAAGAACAAGATTCTTTGCAAGTCTCTCAAGACTGTCGAAACGCTCGGCTCTGTCTCTGTCATTTGCTCTGACAAGACTGGAACTCTGACTCAGGTGAGATGATAAATTGTGCCTGGGAACTCTTTTTTTTGTATCTGACTCTAGTCCTAGGGTAAAATGGCAGTTACGGATTGCTCGATCGGTACCAACAATCTCTCGATGGAACAACTACATGACGCTCTCAATTCTGGAAATGCCAAAGAAAAGCCGAATGTCTTTCAAACCTTTGGGCAGCTTGCTGCATTGGGTGCTTTGTGCAACGGAGCCGAGATGGACGCTGCGCAAGCCGATGTTCCCGTTGCAAAGCGACACGTATTTGGAGACGCCACCGACACCGCAGTTCTTAAATTCTCCGAGTCTGTAGCTCAAGGAAACGTTGCGTATTTTCGATCCTGCTGGCAGAAAGTGTTTGAACTTGCCTTTAATAGCAAGAATAAGTTCATGATTCGGTGCTTCACTCTTGCCCAGCCTGAGGCATTGGGCCGGACTCTGACTGCCCAGGATGCCAGCCAATTCCAGAACAATGATCTGTAAGAAGATACCCGTAGTTCGGACTTTTGGAGAAAACGACTGACTTCGCTATAGGTTGCTCACTATCAAGGGCGCACCAGACGTCCTCGTTGAAAGATGCTCGTACTACCTAGCCCCATCAGGAGAGGTTCTTGAACTTACTCAAGGAGCCAAAGCTACGTTTGAGCACCTTAAGAACATGCATTCTTCTCAGGGTAAGCGGTGCCTTTTCCTTGCGAGAAAACTCGTCAAGGGTGGTAAGCTCCAAGACGGCGGTGATTACGAGAAGTCAGCGGTCGAGGAGGCAAAAACTGGTTTGACCTTGGTTGGACTTGTGGCTATCGTTGATCCACTGAGGCCTGAGATTCGTGATGTTGTCTCTACTCTTCGTGGTGCGGGTATCAGGATTTCCATGGTACGCCGTCCCTCATCCACATCCCAATTTCGTTCATTCTGTACTAAGTATAACCCAGGTAACTGGAGATTTCGCTTTGACAGCCCTGGCCATCGCTCGGGAAGCCGGCGTCGTTACCTGCGTTCATGTTGACGGTGTTTTACATCTCGAAAGAACTACAGTGGATATCAGCTCTGCTTCTGAGGACAATGAAGACGAAAAAACAGTCGCGTCAAGGCGAGGCGCTCTGGTCATCAGTGGCCCTGAGTTGGCAACCCTGACGGATCACCAATGGAGTCTCCTTACCGAGTACGAAGAGGTGGTATTTGCTAGAACCACCCCGGAACAGAAACTTCGCATCGTGCGAGAATACCAGAAGCATAACGTTGTTGCCATGACCGGTGATGGTGTCAACGATGCGCCCTCTTTGAAAGCTGCCGATGTTGGTATTTCCATGGGCAGCGGCTCAGATATTGCCATGGAGGCCGCCGACATGGTATTGCTGGACTCGTTTTCTTCCGTTGTTGCGGCGGTCCAGTATGGACGAGTAGTGTTTGACAATTTGAAAAAGGTGAGAGGATCGTCTATTGACGGCCATTTTGGTGCAATACTAACAAAGGTCGGATTAGGTCATTGCGTACCTGCTTCCTGCTGGTAGTTTCTCCGAATTCTGGCCCGTTATGACGTCGGTTGTTTTTGGTCTCCCGCAAATTCTGTCTTCCTTCCTCATGATCATTATTTGGTGAGGTCCATTCTCAGCTGTCTTGTACATCTGCGAAAGTGCTCGTGCTAACTGAAGGCAGCTGCTTCACTGATTGTGCCGCTGCGACTATCCTTTCATTTGAAAAGCCCGAGGCGGATGTACTCCTCCGAAGGCCTAGAAACGTAAAGAAAGACCGCCTCGTCAACTGGCAGCTAATCTTTCACGCGTATGCCATCATTGGCGTCACAGAGACCCTTGCGTCCTTCGCAATGGCCTTTTGGTACCTGCAACGACAGGGAATTCCCTTCAGGGACCTGTGGTTCAGCTTTGGCGTACTACCCGCTTCCATCAACCCGGACTACTACATGGAAAAGTTGAACGAGGCTTCATCTATCTACTTTGTCAACTTGGTTGTCATGCAGTGGTTCAATCTCATGGCTACAAGAACAAGACGACTCAGCATCTTCCAGCACCCCCCTCTGTTCAACAAGAAGACGCAGAACTTGTATCTATTCCCTGCAATTGTGTTTGCCTTGGCAATGGCGGTATTGTGGTTGTACATTCCTTCATTACAGCCCATCATTCAGACGGCTGATGTACCTGTGGCGCATTGGTTCTTGCCTTTTGCCTTTGGTCTTTTTATCATTTTGATTGATGAGGCTAGGAGGTGTTGGGTTAGGCGCTGGCCGAATGGCCTGCTCGGGAGAATGGCATGGTAGTTTGGGGATTTCTTTTTGCTTCTTCTTCTTCTTCTTTTTTTTTTTTTTGATTTTTTGATTTTTTGATTTTTTGAGAGAGAGAGAGAGAGAGAAAAGGGGGGGGGGGGGGGGGGGGGGATGTCTTGTAAAGATGGTTTCGTGAGCGTTTGTGTAGTTGTGACGAGATGTTTGATATATTATTATGCTTGATTTTGAAAACCGTTGTATCATGTGTAGCTACTTGCTGCGTGATAGTTGTCAAATGTTGGCTCGATAATCTGTCTTGATGGAACAAGCACATGAAAATCCGTTCCAAAACAGGCTACTTTTACCGCTTCCAATCACAACTTCTGGTCGTGGTGGACCGCCGATCATCTTGGTCCTGTTCTAGTCTGGTTGGCCCAGCGTCAGCACAGCACCATGTCGCTTCCTGGCTGCTCAATCAACCATTAGTCGCAACGACTGGGCTGATATCAGCTCATTTTGCCCTGTTGGCGAGACTGCCGATGCACGTTAGAGTGCCAAGCTGTTCTTGTATCTTGGGGCTGCATCATAGTTTGTGGTTCTCCGGGCGTCATGACAGCCATTCTGTTGCTGGGTGACGCAGCTTGCGATTCTCCGTTGTTCGTCATTCAAGCACCACCTCACACGTGGCGTAATTGATTGATGGGTTTGCACACGCAGGCTATCTCGCCGAGTGTTTCAAACAATGCCCGGAGTCCCGTCGTCTCGCAGCTGTGAAGCCTGTCGCAGGGTGAAGAAAAAGGTGAGAGAGACTCAGGTCGTGCCTTGGAGTTTCGGTAGAGCAACCATTGACTCGGGCTTCTCTCTTGCATAGTGCGACCAAGGTAGACCCTCATGTTCTCGCTGCATACGACTGAAGATCCATTGCGTCGGGTCTGGACACCAGCGGTACAAATTTCAGGACGTATCGACCGCCTTCGCCATTGTCAACAGCCAAGTGAGCAGACGACCTGCTGCCTCCAGCAAAGAGGGCCTCGGCCCCATCACGACAGTCCCAAGCAACAGGGTAACCATTACCGCCAGCGCGCTGGGGTCTGTTTTGGAGGTGACAGACCCTAGATATGATGTTTTCGCCTTTGGATCGTTTATGAGGATGCTCCCCCAGCGCCTCGGGCATAGTGTTGCTCTGGACGCGTCGGCGGCGGCCTTTGTCAGCGCCCTGAGAGATTTGCGCACCAGGCAGTCAACCCTCGGTACCATAGGGAAGTACGTGGGAGCCTTGAGTGCCGTGCAGAAAAGTCTGGGGGACGAGGGCACGGCGTACTCGGCCGAGACGCTGTGTGCCGTGTTCTTGGTCATGGCCGCGCAACCGTGGCTGTCCATGAAGGGCGACCGGCATCCCAGCCACGGCTTGGGCATGTCGCATCTGCTGAAGATCTTGGTTGACAAACAACCTCATGATGACTTCTTGCGGACGCTGATGGCATCAGTTAGTGTCGTAGTGGTGGGTTGCCCGCATGTGTCCCCTGAGAAGTCGGCTCACGCTAACCACCCAGACGCAGATACTCGAGAGTATATTCAACCCGGCGATTGAGCTAGAGTCTTGGATACACAAGGTGCATACGCTGACGAGTCAAGAGGAAGAGGAGGCGGCGTTGAAGCTAGGCCTCAATTTCCGATGCCTGGATATGGGATGGCTCTCGAAGCTGCCCGAACTCATACGGAACCCGGTTGTGAACAGCGCCGCCATCAAGGCCTACTATGAGATGATACAGACCGACTACCCCGGGATAAAGCGCTTTGGGGACAGCGTGATTGAGGCGAGATGCGCTGGGCCGCCGACGTCTCTTCCGCTCCAGGTTGTGCGGGCGCAGACACAGTTCCACGCCGCGCAGTGCATTATCCTGTCCATCGCCATCACCTTGAATGCATTCATGAGCAAACACTTTGGTCCCGATGATTTTGTAGCCGCAGATAGATATGGATTCTGCGCCGATGCAATTGAACTTGCCGAGAGGGCCCGACACCGAAGGCCCTTGGCTGCCGCTCATATTCCGCTGTGTCTGATTACGGCTTGGCTATCTTCGCGGGATCCCATGCAGCAGGTGCAGCTGGAACTTTTGATGGACGAGTACGGCAAAGACTATCATCTGATCGAAATGGTTCGAGGCGCAACGCAGGTCGACGGGGGAGGGAAAGAGGGCGCGATTCGTAAATTCGCCTGCTTTCCGATGCAGACACTGGGTGGGCAGAATGAACCCGTGGTACAAAGGGTTGGTCCTGAAGCTTATTGCGCAGAGTACTGCACTATTCTATAATGAGATATCTTGAGCTAAAATTACAGAATACACGAACATTGGATGGATGCCTGGCATGTATCCGGTAGTCATCATCACGGCGGCCGGCAGTGAAGCGTTGTTGGAGGGTACGGCTGTTCAATATCCCGGTGTCGCATTTGGCTCTTCATTCAAGCTGTTTAATCTGGCGACACTGCCTTGCTTATTGGATTCATCGTAACAAATTTAATCCACAGAGCTGTATTTGTTCAGGAGCTCGACAATACTCACGAGCCATGAGAGCCGCACGCAAGTCATTACGCGGCCCGCGAGCCAACATCTCTGGCTGGTAGGAAAACTCGTCCCACCTCAATCTTCATGTTTAACCTCGTATTGTATGTTAATCAAAGATGCGCTAGAGCCTGTTTTATCCCAGAAGACAGAGGAGCATTCGACTTTATTATTAGATCTCTTGCCGTATTCCAGAACAGAGGTTCCCCCCGGGACAGAAACAACATTGCAGTTGCACCTTGTTTGCAAAAAACGCGTTCGGTCTCTGCGTTGTCGCCTGACACGAAGAAGTCTGAGTCCTGACCACAATCCTGAGTTGGACCCTGGCCTGGTTACACGCCACGGCAAAGACCCATTGTCTGTCCTCGGATCGGCGGATAGCTGGTTGTCCGGAACAGAGTATTGTATCAGGAAGTTCCGAGGCAGGAAAATATTAAATTCTTTGCGAAAGCGCCTGCCACAGCCCCGATGTCCATTCGGGGTGTCATTGTGCGTTCAGGCCAAGGTTCTATTCCGAGGGCCCAACACCGACCTCATCACATCCCGGGGAGCACCGGCGAGGACTGTCGGCTCCCGCTCCCAGAACATCATCTCCGTGAAATTTCAGCTGACAAGGGGTAAAGACGGCGTAGGACAGGGCATCCTCGTCTTCGCCATACACATGGTGATGCCACGACACGCGGCGGAGGGCTACACATGACGGGAGCTGTTTCGACTGATTGCGAATATGGCACAACTGGACAAGGGTGTGCTTCCTTTTTTCCCCTGGTGGGGGATCAACGACATAAGAGGGACTTGGGTGACCTCGAGCCTCGGATTATTAACAAGCTTATCGACCGATCTTACTCTTACGGAATTGGCCATGGCCAATGCCGGGATTGCCGCGCAACGCTAACGCTCAGGGGTCTATCGGATGAAGATGATATTAGTCCCCCAAGGAGCATTTTGAAGGGGACGACGCGTAGTATTCGTCTAAAGACTTGGCTGGACCTGGGTAGAATACGGCAACATGTCACATGACACGACCACGACGAGAACATCGGCAAGAATTGTTCAACCTTTTGCTTTAGGGTTATATCGTCAGCTTTCCTCATGTTACTTGACAAGATTCTTCATATGCAGTGGACACAAATTGGTTCAAAACGTTGTTTGAAACTTCGTACATATTACTAGTAGACTTGGCCATTGAAAAAAGCAGTTTTGTGCCAGCTATTCCCGCCTTGGAACATGACTGCCTCATCTGTTTCTACCTAGTAACATGTAAAAAGAAGAGTTCCGAGCCATCTATATGCCCAATTCCTAGTCGTGGCGAGACGGCTAGTGAGCCTCTGGCGGTGCTGGTATAAATGCAGCATCCTCGAGAGCAATCTTGCCAACAACCCCGCCAGAGACACTGCCAGCGTCAACGTTTTCCTTTGCTTGCTGTGACGACTTCATGTAATTGATCAATTGCTGCTCATCTCTCCTGTATTCCTGGTGAGCGGGAAACTGAAAGAATTCGCCGCTGTCTTGGGGCGGGAGGTACTGACGGGTTGATGGCCATGACCTGACCGGTTTGACAATGGGGCCCGGTGGCACAGTACAGAAGCCTGGGGTTCAGGTCGTTTACAACCAGGTTGAAAGTCTTGACGTCCTTGTCGCCGTTTTGGTAGGGGAGATGTCCGCTGTGGATGGCTTGCGGGTCGGACTTTTGCAGTGGCTGGCAGCCGGAGCCCTCGATGCCCTCGGTGACGGTGTGGTTTCCGTTGCTGAACTGGAACTGGACAATGTCTCCGACCTTGGCGCGGATCATGTTGGGCACAAAGAGGTCCTGGGGGCCGCCGACCACCACGGGGTGGACCTGGTTCGCCTGACCTGGCGAGATTGTGTTGGCGCGAACTATTCAGGGTGTTAGTCTTGTGTTGCTTCTCGGGGCGTGCCGGACGATTGATGCCTTTGGGGTATCTGAATATTCGACTTACTTCGCAAGGGTCTGAGTTCCCTGTGAGGCGCTCCCCTTCCAGCCTGGAATAGGCTGGCAAGAGCCAGCAGACACGGGAATGCCTTCATTTTTCCCTTTGCTTCAAGAATTAATGGTAGCGGCCGGCCGGCGGTCTCTCCAAGTACACTTTTACCAAGAATGCTGCTCAGTAAGGCATGAAATATGAAGCTCGTCCAGCGAGGTTAAGCTCAGACTCGGGGGAAGAGAGAGGAATGGAACGCGAGCAGTCGCTAGTAAAGGAAAAAAAGGACAAAAAAAAAGATTGTCGTACAATAGACAAGTATGCAGACCTGTCATGCTTTCAGTTGGGCATGAATTCTCTTTTGTGTCATGCTCGGAAGTAGAGCACTTGGTCGGTTCCGCCGGTTTCACCATACATCGTCCGCATTGTACATCGTGGCCCGCGCCAGCATCAGATGGAAAATTCGGAACTGCCAAGAGAGAAGAGCGGGCCAAGGAACCCTTGATATCGACGAGACGAGGTGAGGCGTATCGAGTCACTGTGCCATATTTTCCCGCGCCTGAGGAATAGGAATGGCGACAATGGGGATTTCCCGCATGGGCGTCTGCCAGCGTCATGCGCGGCCGGTGCAAGGGGTTGGACCAAGAGAACCAATGATTTGCCGTTTGGTGTTTTGCTGCGCAGAAACAGAACGCTAATCTGCACATGATTTGCGTCCAAAAAAGAGGCTTATTGTTTAAGCTGACGACTTTCGACGGCGTTTCTGGAAAAAGACGAGCACGGGGATTGCTCTGAAACAGCCAGAGATCCGCGACGCCCAACTTGCTTCAGCCAAGGGAGATATCCCTTCGATGAGCTGAAACGACGTCTCAGAACAGAGAACCTTCTTTTTGGTGCTGCAACTGTCTTTCGGTGGGGATACTGACTCCAACTGTGCCTGTCGGAAATAAGATTCCGTGCGAGGCGTCGTCCGTTTTACACTGATCATGACGACATTTGACCACGTCTCCTGACGGGAATTTAATTCAGGAAAAAAAAAAGGGAATCAAAGGCGGCTCATTCATTTGTATGCTCGTGTTGGGAGGCCGCATGCAAAGGCCAAAGAGGTGCTGTTCACAGGTTTCCCCCGACTCTGTCGGCATTTCCCATTTGGACCGCAGTACCGACACTCGGTCGCGTCGCTTCTCCATCCATCATGACACCTCTGTAGCTAGCTCTTTGCATGTGGTCACGGACACGCCGACGCCGGGCTGCCCCGGACAGGAATTTTACTCATGTCTTTTGGATGTGAGCCCTTGCATGGGTGTAAGCGGAGCTGCATGAGCCGGAGCCGGCGTGCACAAATTATTTCCAAGTTATTTGCTTGCAGTAGCCTCTTGGCCTTTTTTACATGGTGACGTGATTAGTAGTAGTCAGTTCTTATTAGGTAGCCAGCCCACTGGATTCGGTAGCCTAGTCGTCAAGACGAGTGTGAGACAGCTGTCTCGTCAGGTTGCAGGTAAATGAAGAATCTATGCCGGTAAAAACTGCCGTCAGTGGTTCCAGGCAGTTTCTCTACTGTATCGGTTTGCATTCTATATTAGACTTTTGTGTTGATCGGCGTAAAGTATGTATTCTACAGCAAAGCAAGACACAGGAAATCAAACCTCTCAGTTCGTCGAGGGCTACGAGAGGCCACATTGTATGTGAACTTCCACTTATGGCAATGCCGAAGCCCCGGAGCCCGGAGCTCATCGACTCGGGAAATTGTGGAGACAAAAGACCGGCCGCCGGGCAATTGCACAATACATACTCCGGTGCTGGTAGGTAGGAAGGATACAAAGAGATTACACCAGACAACTTGGGCGGTGCGAAATAGATGCGTTGCAATTGCTACCGTCTTCTTGCACGGGCCCTTGACGATGAATTGCAGCAGTCGACGCGACGAAAATCGTAGCGGATGATTGTCAGGATCCCATGCGCATCTTTGCGGATTGCCGCATATTATTGTCTGCGAAATGTTGAGTATATAATGAAAAGATGTAATCGAAAGTTAATAGTGCTCTGCAAAGTATTACTCTCACTAGATTTTGTTCCGTCTTCCGTCTTTCCTTTTATATGTCGGTCTTTGCTTGAAGTCAAGTCCTGGTGACTTGGGCTACTAATATCATTTCATTCGCAAACCCCATCTGTCTGTACGGAAACACCGCCCCATTAATATCTGTTTAATCATGCCTTCTTCTTTATTGTTCGCCGTTTCCACCATTATTGCCCTCGGTCGCTGCCATGCAGTCATTCCCAAGGCACAGGGGGACGCCGCTTCTCCCCTACGTGTTGGGTTTGGAGGTGACTAAAATTCAGTACCATCCTTCTTCAAAGGCAAAGTCACTAAATAATCTGTGTCTGTTAGTTGATCTTTCCATCTCTCCCAACTGCACCGGCATCAGCCCTTGTCAGCAAGATACAACCATTATCCGCGACGACGAGATCAAGAGCAAATCTTGTCAACACGTGCGGCCGCACCGAGTTGAAAGGAAACATTGATATCGGAGAGAAGACTGAAATTGCACTTGCAGCCTGCGCAGTGACTCGGGTGAAGGCCGGTACGAGATGGTTGTGACCCTCTACTAAATTAATGCTGACGGCGCTGGCCCATACTTTTGCAATCTCGATGAGACGAGCAATGCTGGAATCAAATTCGCGGCATCAAGACTTGAGCTGCAGACGCTATACCCCAACTTTGCTAACATGTCTGTAGAATCTCAACGGTAACAGACAACGTCCCAGGGGCGAATGGCCTCTCACAAGGCAAGACTGAAGACTTGGAAATCACAGTTGGAATGCCAGACCAGCTCAAGTGCACAGGAGTGAGTTTCTGTCTCCCCTACTCTCACCCCAACGGCCCCATGTCTAATGGGCTTTCGAGGCTCTACTGGCAGTGTCTGCACTGTTCGCTGCCGCAACACTTCTGTGGCCGGTCCATTTAGTGGCTGCTTCCCTGTGAAGCAGACTGACACGGAAAAAGCCGTCAACACCGTCAACTCCATCGATACAAAGCAGAGTTTGGAACAAGTCACCGACCTGGTGAAGTACACCACTAGGCTAAAAGTGATGCTTCGCTATTGAGGGTAGATATCTTGGCCAGTGAGTGGAGTTGACGCTTCGGATCATGCGGGACAATTTGAGTGATCTGTATGTACATAATGTCGACCCACCAAAGCATCCGATGCAAGCTCCAGCCTTAGCTTCAAGATGCCCGAAGCCGTCTTGGCAGACAAGTGTGCAAGCTCCATGTCGGATGCCCAAGGTGCAGAGACAAGCTGAGGAAAAGCACCGACGTAAAGAAAAAGCAGCCTCAACCCCATGCTGCCAATTGGAACTCCACCATTAACTACTGTTGTCAGAAGTCAGTCATGTGATAAGCTGGCGCCGGATGATTGGATAAATTAGCACATGAGATAATTAGATAATTACCCCTCCTCCCAATTTGTTGTGGAGAACTAGGCTGGTGACGCTGCGGAGTCGGCTCTTGACGGAATATAAATGGCCAGCTCCTGCCGTGAGAGGCATTTTTTCTTATCTTTTCCAAAAAAATACCTCTTCCTGTTTCTCCCTCTTCCAAAATTCCATCAATTACTCAGCTATATATTCGCCTCAGGAGTCCAAGTACGATTGGTACGCCTCCAGCGTCTAAGGAGCCATGATGCCTCTCGCAATGGAACTATTATCAGGTCGAGGTAAAGTGAACCAAGAATGCAACCGGGTGTTCAATCTTATTCCCGCCGTGTCCCGCTCTTGACGCCTCAGCGCAAATCATCCTGCCAACAAACCATTAAACATGGAGTCAGTTGGTAAAGAGGACGTTTTTGTGTGTGCGTGCGTGTTTTGAGAGGCGCCACGGTGAGATGATTGATCTGAGAAATACCGGTGAACTTGATCTGGATAATACCAGCGAAAGGATTTGCTTCTTGAAGACTCTTTCTGTAGTCCCCATTCCGAAGACCAACTAACTCTCGTAGCATCCGCCTCGAACTGCCAAAATGTCCACGGATAAGATCACCTTCCTTACCAACTGGTAGGATTGGACTGTTCCTTGGGAGATTTTTTTGGCGCACGCATTGACTAATTCTTACTGTAGGCACGCTACGCCTTACCACGCCCCTCTCTACCTTGCTCAGGCCAAGGGATACTTCAAGGATGAAGGTATCAAGGTGGCCTTGCTGGAGCCCAACGACCCTAGTGTGCGTCTGTCATGATATTCTCAATCACCTTCGCGGAACCGCAATGGGCTAACTGAAAAACAAGGATGTCACCGAAATTATTGGCACAGGCAAGGTCGACCTTGGCTTCAAGGCCATGATCCACACTCTGGCTGTACGTCCATGTTTTCACTCCTTTTGTCCTCTTCTTCTTTTCGCTGTCAGAAGACACAGTATGTTGACTGTCAAGCTATAGGCCAAGGCTCGCAACTTCCCCGTCCTCTCCATCGGGAGTCTCTTGGACGAACCCTTCACCGGTGTTGTCTACCTCAAGGACTCTGGAATCACAACCGACTTCCGCTCTCTCAAGGGCAAGAGAATCGGCTACGTTGGCGAGTTTGGCAAGATCCAAATCGACGAGCTCACCTCGCACTACGGCCTCACTCCCGCCGACTACACCGCCGTTCGCTGCGGCATGAACGTCTCCAAGGCCATCATCAACGGCGACATTGACGCCGGAATTGGCCTGGAGAACGTCCAGATGGTCGAGCTGGAAGAGTGGCTTGCCAGCCAGGGCCGCGACAAGTCCGACGTCCAAATGCTCCGCATCGACGAGCTGGCCGAGCTCGGCTGCTGCTGCTTCTGCTCCGTCCTCTACATTGGAAACGAGAAGTTCATCTCTGAGAATCCTGAAAAGGTCCGCGCCTTCATGCGAGCCGTCAAGAAGGCCACTGACTTTGTTCTCGCCGATCCCCACCAGGCGTGGAAGGAGTATGTCGACTTCAAGCCCGTCATGAACTCCCAGCTCAACTGGAAGATCTTTGAGCGCAGCTATGCCTACTTTTCCCAGGACCTGAAGAATGTCGAGCGCGACTGGAACAAGGTCACCAAGTATGGTCAGAGACTTGGCGTTCTGAGCCCCGACTTC